GTGAGGTTTTCGTTGTCCAAATATAAAAATCTTTTGAGAAAGTGTTCGTTATCCAATTTGTTCGTTAACCGATCACCCACTGTATTCTGTGTCAAAATTTTATAAAAGTGGCACTTTTAACTATTCAAAAACAAGAATCAACTAATAGATTTAATTAAAAATTCATTGAATAATATTTTTACTATTCATAACTTATATGTAACATTTGTAATGGTTGTTTTTGTTACAAAATAATACTTCAAATTTACTTTTTATTTTTATCACTTACCAACTACTGTACTTAAATAAATTTTGGATTCATTAAATTAGCAAATTATTTCATTATTATTACTAACGTTTTAAGATAAAATAATTAAGTTAATAAAAAAATAAGAACTTTCATTTAAATTTAAGGATAAGATATTATGTGAAAAAATGTATTACTTTCATCATTCATAAATATTTCATTTTTATTTTACATCGAGATTATTCAGTAGATAACCAGGTCACATATAATAAAAGTATTATTTTCAAAATTGAAAAATTAATTAAAATACAGTATTTTCATATGAAAATCCAAAAATTTTTAAATGTTAACAAACATAAAATAAAGTAAAAACAATAAACAAAATATATATATATATTTATAACAAATTAAATAGGTTAAAAATTCTAACTTCTTATTATAATTTAATCTATTGACAATATAAAATAAATGATTTAACACAGTATATTAATTAGTAATTTAAATATCCAAATATAATTATGAAAGTTATTCATAATATATTGTAATAAGTAAATATTACATATATATAAGTATACATATAAGTAATAAATACTTAAGCTAGGAAAACAAGTATTTTTCAATCTGCCAATAAAGAAACATTATTATTTGATGCTACTATTTCTTTATTATTAGATTACAAAATATATGTCTTTCTAGTTTTAGAATTATAATAAAAAAAGCTATAATGGAATTATTATTTTCTTTATATTGGTAACAATATAAATTATGCTGAAGGCAAAATTCCAGATGGTTTTGAAGATAGAAATCACATGATAAAACAATCATACAATTTTTGTAAGAATTGAACAACAGCATTCCTTATTTCAAAAATTATAATTGGAGGACTTTAACAATAGATAATCTTTTTCATTGTATCTTATATATAGAAATGAAGTTCAAGATTTTGACTGTGTAATAAGGAAATTCAGTTTTCTAAAATAATGCTTATTCTAAAACAGCATCTAGCATTTTAAGATAATGTTAATATAGGTTGTCTGAAAAGTTACTGTGCAGTGAGAAATTTGTAATGACATTAAAGGTATACTTATAGCATTGTATATGAGACCTGTAAGTCATTCCTGCTTTTTAACTTTTGCAGCAGATAACATTATTGCTTGCTCACAGATATTCTGGTTTCTGGAAGACTTCTTTGTTGATAGCATAATCTTCCATGGAATCGGGCCTGCTAAGTCTCCAGACTGCACTACCCTGGTTTTTGAAGTCTCTGGCAGACATTTTCAGTATTTTCTGACATTTCTCATTTCAATAGGAGAAACTACAATATTGTATGTAAAACTTCAATTTTATTAAAACTTTTATTTAAACCTTTTCCACTGCAGAATAACTTTTCAGATACCCTGTAGTGTAGCAAGTTGTCTACTTTGAAAACTTGTCTTAAATATGATTTTATTCATTTCAGACCAGGTTTGCTATATTGTCTTCATGCATATATGTATAGAGTGGTACTTTGTACTATGACCATTCCAGAGTTTAAACAATGCTTCTGTGTTCATACTACATGACAGAAAAAAGATGTCCTTGCTACATAAAAACTAGTGTTTTGGAATTGGAGTCAATAAAATTCTTTCAACTCCGGTGACTCCAACCTCAAAGTTTACTGTTTTTAAAATTTGAAGTAAGAAAAATACTTTTTAATGAATTAGTATCTAAAGAAATTTCTTACAAAACGGACACTTCGATAAATTTAGATATCAAAATGATATTAACCCATGAACGCTATTTCCTAGCAAAATGTTTCCTGTGTATCTCATGCAACCTGCTCTATACTTTCAGATAATAGCTTTTATTAATTTAAGGCTCACCAGTGGCCATGTGGATAAATCCACTTAACATTTACAGTTACTCATGGGATCGTGCCTGGAAAGTAAACACGGTATTGCTTGGAAGCACCAAGCTTATCTTTACCAAAGAGAAGTTTCAAGAAAAAATTTGACTTTCATTTCGGTTGGCATAATTTTTACTTAGCACAATATTTTTGTTACATCTCAGATGTTAAAGTGTCATGTCAGATGATGAGTCAGAATCAGACTTTTTGTTTACTGACTCCACCACATTGGTAAAACACCATCTGTTGTGTACCCAAGTCATCTCTTATTCTTGTAGTGAAAGCATCTTTTGCATTATGTTTGTGTGTTAGTGCTTTTCCACTTTAATTTTGGTTATGTATATATAACTTCTACAGTGTTTGGTTATATATGTAACTCATACTTATTACCTACAGCATGCAAGAAGTATGGAAGCAATGAAGCCTGGGAGGTTATAGTATCAACAATTGAGATGAAAAAGGAACTTATCACAAAGCATGAAAGTGATATATGTGTAGTTGGTCTGGTGGCTATGTTAAAGGTGCCAAAGTTGATGGTGTGGACCATTCTTAAGAAAAAGGAAGCAGCAAAAACAGCAAATGTGGTGTGACAATATTGACCTCCAGGAGATTGTTTGGAAAAATGTGATTGCCTCTCATTACCCACACAAGGAGTTTTTCCAAGATGGAAAAACTCCTTGTGTGGGTAATGAGAGGCAATTGGCTGGTGATATCATCTCTGAGTGAATTATTTGTGAGAAAGACAAGTAACTGCACAGTTACCTTAAGAAATGGGACAACATCCTCACTAAAGGTACAGTAAATGCAATTTCCATTTTATTATACAATATTTACATATTTTATTTATTTTTTCGTGTTTTAATTTATTATTTAGGGCATTTAACTCTGTTATTTTTACCTTAAATTATGTGTATTTGTTGTTTAAGTTTATTGAATTGTTTAGTGTTTGGAAACATATTAATTCATTTTCTATTATTTCTAATGGGGGATTCCTCTGCCTGCTTCTTGGTTTAAAATATCACTAAGATGTCTTTCTTTTAGCCTCCATGTCATCACTAATCACTATCACTGTCAATATCTAACAATACTGTCTGAACTCTTGCCATCCTACATTTACCTATTTTATTTGTCAACTTCTAACTCATCATCCTCTAATCATATCTAAGTTATTATGTGCCTGTAAATATGTTGAATATGTTATCTAAATAGTTGGAATATCTTCTTTTTCCTTTAACAGTCTATATTTGAAATCCAAGAACTAAATTTATTGACTTTTAATCCCCCTCTCTAAGCTGTTCCTAACTTTTTTGGCTCAACTTTAATCTCTCTATATCATATTAATAAACACAATATAAACTGTGAATAACATATATCATAGCTCTTTTCTCACTGCAAACTACAATAATTTACCTAATATTAATAAATAAATAAAAAGATATGGGCTTAACCTTGATAAATCCCAAAGCCACAGTAAATCCTAAGTCTCTTTTTTTCTAACACTTTAAATCTATCCTATCTTAACACATAGTTTAACATTTCTATACATTTCCATAATTAAATGTACATAATTCTCATCATTCCCTTTTCTTCTTGATTCAGAGAGTTCTTGGGAATCCCAAAGACATCCCTTATTAATAATGTGTATACAAGCTTAACTATAAATTTTTTGACATTTTCTTGCCTTAACGAAAACTCCCAAAAATATTTTAAAATGAACATAACTCATAAGCAAAAATGGTCTAATCAACTTAAAGTCTAAAATTGTGAAAGTGACAGTTAATAGAAATATAAATATTAATGACATTTACGAATAAATAATGTTCAAAATTGGATTAAAATATTATTTATAAGCAGTCCTTTAAAATAGACAAAAGAAATATCTGAGTTAAAACAAGAAAATTTCATATATTAAAAAAAATTTCAAATGTTTACAGCTGACTCACACTATGCTCCAGCCAAACTTAAGACTACATGCGATTGAAGTGCTCGAAGTGGCAGAAATATTTATTACACCAGAATAGTAGCATTACAGCTATTGGCAGCGCAAGGACCAGTATATCTATTGACTCTGGTTTGGGTATGATCAGTCCAAAAGGAAAATACCATGTATTCATAACACCCTCTCCCATCTGCATCAACTTAAGAATTTAACTTACGAATATTTATAATTAATCGTGATACATATTCTAATACTTAATTTGTAAATACTAACCTACTGCTACAGGATGAACATGAACTAAGACGTGTGCATAAAGGAGTGTATTAAGACAATGCAGATCCTATTCTTCAAGAAACATCACTCAGATGATGTGTATGTCTTCTGGATGAACCTCACAACTGCACATAACATAACATGTACAATTTCTGTGATAGAGGATTATGAAGTCTAATATGCCAACAAAGAGAACAATGTTTCAAATATTCTTCACCTACACCCAATCAAACAATTCTGGTATCAGATGAAACAGAAGATACAGACCATATTCCACAATTTAGAAACATAAGAAACTAATTTTGTTAATTTTGTGTTCCTAGATAATCATGTTATAAAAATAAAAGAAGTTTGATTTTTGTGCAAAGTTTTAGCTGTGATGCAATTTTTTTTAAATAACTAACCTACAGTAACCTTAATTTCAAAAATAGCACAACAAATATCCCAAACTTTAACCAAGATTTGTAATAAGATATTTATTAAATCATTATTATAAAGCTCTCTTTATAATAATGATATAAATCTGACTTTTCATTATCCATCTACTTAATGAAATGAAGACAGATAATGAAAACAAACAAATATAAAGTAACTTGGAAGAAAAAAATCAAAGCAACTTAAGAATATTTATAATTAATTGTGATACATATTCTAATACTTAATTTGTAAATACTAACCTACTGCTACAGGATGAACATGAACTATTACTGTTTCCACTATCAGCACTGGAATAATAATCACTGCTATCATTCTCATCAGAATCATTTTCACTCTCAGAATTTTCATCTAGTTTTGCTTCTGAATTCACATAAAATTTTTAATTGAAATAATAGAAACAAATATAGTGTGTCTTATTAAAATTTTTATCTTACCTAATTTTAATTTTTCTTCTATTAATGGAAGAAATTCTTTTGCAGTTTTATTCTCTGGTTCATACTGTAGAACTAAAAAATTAATGTACCAATTAATATTAAAAAATTGCAAAAAATACTTATTAATACTTAGTTTGGTGATCTACTCACTGATTCTGCAATAATTTAAAGCACTTTTATAATCTTTGCTCATAACAGCTGATAAAAACTGAAAATAATGCATATGAAATTATCATTAGAATTAAACTTAAAAATTATGGATAAATTCAAATTAAGACAAAGAATCTATTAATATCCAGTAAGAATTGGCAAATACTCACAAATGTTAAATGAATCATTCCTCAACACATACAACTATTAATTTTAACTTTAATTTTAAAACCAGCATGCTTTAATTCAACTTTAACAAGCATTTTCAATCTACTGTAATAACAGATCTGTTTCAGGTTTATAAAGCTTAATATTCTAATTCTGGAATGTACTTGTGATCATTGCAATATTTAAAATTTAGGAATAAATTTGAAATTTAAAAGCTGTTCTATGCCTTAAAGTTATGTGATAAATAATTATATAAATCTATATATGTAAATGAGAATGTCTGTTTCTTTGTTCGCTATGCTTAACTCTTTACTGTATGAACCTTAGTTCATTACAAGGGGTTAAAATATTACATAAAAACTGAAGTTAGTACAATTTAACAAATTAATACAATAGCTTAGTACTACACAATAAAACACAATAATAATCATTTATATATATTATGTAAATCTGAGATTAGTAAAATTTAACAAATTAATTAAATAGATTAGTACAGGATAACACAAAATAAAATACACTAAAATAATCATTTTTTGAAAAACACAATAAATTATATCTTTTCAGGATTTAAATGTTGTCAAATAGTTTTTCCTATTTGTTTCAAATTTGATTCTTTTGAACACATTCTCATGTTTCATATGTTTGCAAACTATTGCAAATTCTCTCAGGGTCTATTATTAGTCTAGTATTATATGTCAAAATATAATTTTGACCACATCTCAGCTGTAGAATTAATTGTTTTACATGATAATTTATGTCCACAGACAAATAATTATCATGTAATCTTCTCACATATAAGTAGTTTTAAAAATACAATATAATAGAGAATGCTTGTTCTTTTCCAACAAAAACCAACCTTCTTGTATGCTCTGTTCACAACACACTTTTATAATTAATGTTTGATTACTTTCAATCAAATGAAGATCTTGGTAATGAGAAACTGTGAACCATAGAACATAGAAATGAGAAACCATGTTGGTCTAACAGATTTTTCAATGCCAATGTCCAGTTATATGTATAATTATCCATCATTAAACTTAATTTATACAGTTTGTTATATGCTACTCTAACAAACTGTAATCATGTAGTTTCAACAGTCTAATCCAAAAAGAAACTATTGCTTTTATTAATAATACTGATATTCTAGAATACCAAATTCCAATCACTAACATATAAGCTGGAATTTTATGGTAAAAAAAAATTCTTCAAAGATATAAAGCAAGAACAATTTCCATTTTATTGTAATAAGTAATTGCCCATATACTGTAGGAGCAGCATATAGTAGTACAGATGAAATCATTGAGTGAAATAATTTTATATAAATATGAGCAGAATTAATTTTAACTTTTGAAAGAAGAGGCCATATAGAACACAGTGACATTTTAGCCTTACAAATACTATCATTTTTAGCTTGTAAAAACAGTCCAGAAGACAAAAATAATACTCCCAGGTATACTTAATTCATAACAGCTTGTATAAGCTGATTATTAAAAGACCATCTCTCTCTGGGTGATAGTCTACCACCTTTCATACACATTTGAAACATTTATAGTTAATCGATAGTCACAACAAAATTACTCTAGAATTGTGATTTTCTTTTTTAACATTTGTGGAGTATCAGCAAGGATTACAGTGTTGTCAGCAAATATTAGTACATGTAACTCAACTTGATCACAAAGAGAAATCCCAGATAGGTCAGATTTAGAAAGTCACACTATCAAATTCTATCAAACCATTAACATATAAATTAAAAAGCAGTGGGCTCAGAATCTCATCCTGCAAAACTCCAATATCAATACCAAATGAATCAGTCATTTCAGCTAAATCTTTACTCTTTGCAGTGGCTTTGGAATATATGTCAATTATAAAGTCAAGAAACTGTTTATTCATACCCATTCTTTCTAATAGAGACCATAAAACTTTATGATTAACGGTATCAAAAATCTACAAAAACAGCATAAAATTTTCCTCTCTTTTTCTGCAATTTTAATTGTACCAATGCATTTAATATAAATATTTGATCTGGACATGATTGGCCAGATTTTTTATCCTCATCAATCGTATCAGGATTGAAAACCTGCTTGATCATGACACAAAATATCATATTTAATAATCCAATCTTCTAATCTTTTATTTAATAAAGATGTAAATAGTTTACCATTAGAGGAACCAAAAATATAGACCAATAATTTGAGGTCATTATTGCCTTTTTTATACATTGGAAAAATCAAAGATTCAATCCATTTTTCTGGGAAAATAGAATTTCTTTTAATAGAGTTAAAAACTTCCAATGTTGTAAGAAGAAAATTTTCTGAAAAACACTTTAAATATTCTGTTCTAATAAAATCAATTACAGGTGAGGTACCAGATTTAAAACGGTTATCGCTCCTTTTAGCTCCTCCAGTGTAAAATCTCTAAAACATTCAGTTTCTATCAAAAACACTTTATACACATCTATCGACAATTGGTCATCATTAATAAGGTTCTTTAGAGAATTTTGTAGTATAATAATTGAACCATTTTTTCCAAAGAAATTCTTGAATTACCCAAAAAATTTTTACATTTTAAACTATTATTTATTTGCCAAAATGTTTTAGATTTATTGTATATCACAATCTGCTATTTAAGTTTCAAAAATAAGACTCTTTTTTCTTTTGACATAATAATTTATATTCTTTCAAATTAAATTAAACAAATCAAATTATAATTGTTCACCAAATTTCAATATGTAACAACAGTATAACAACTGAAGAGGGATGATATGAGTCTGAAATGCATTTTGTTAAAGGTACTTAAAAAGAATAAAAAAAGAGAATTACTGTATAACATACAGACGTTGTTGTGATAAGTTTTGGAAAAAAACAGCACTATCAGGTTGCTGAAATAATAATTTAAATTCTATTGTATTAAATTTTGTTTTGTGTTCTGGAGGTTTATGACACATTACATTCTAATTTGTAACATTAGAATGATTTTATTTTAATCTGAAAATGGTTACTTAAAACAATCTATTTTTGACTACTACACTTTTCAATTTTCATTTTACAATTAATTCAATTTCTTATGGATATTAAAAATTCTTTGTTTTAATTTGAATTAAAGAATAAGCCTATTAATCATCTTAATACTGCTTTAAAAGTGCTGTAACAATTTTCATTCCAAAAGTATGTTATTACTTTAGTTCAAACTTTTGAAATAGCTATTAAAATTTTAAAACGTTGAATGTAATTTAACATTAACATCTATGGGACCAAGAACACAAATTATAAGATTCTAGCTCAAATTAACTATGAATTGGAATTATCAAATCTCAAATTAATAAGTTTACTATGTATATATATATAATTCAATATACTCACCTCTGCTAATACTTCAATAGGAGCAGTAACTGTCTCATCTTCATCAAATTTATGATCTTGAACAGCATCTTCCCAAATTTCACCATCTTTTACATCAGAGTTTCTGTAAAATTTATTAATATTTAAAATTTAAAAATACATTTAAACAGTTTGCACACATAAAATACATGAAAAAGAAAAGCACATATGCAGAATAATATACACATACAGTAGAGCCTCAATTATCCGACCCCCGATTAACCGGCACCTCGGTTAACCGACCATCCTAGTCGGCAAATTTCAAATGTCCGCTAGTGATGTGATGCTACAATATTTGGCTATGTCTTGGCTACTTTAATATTATTTTTACGTGTTTTGGCTGGCAACATCATTCTACCATGAAAGGGAGCCAGTATTTAAACGAGGCTTAATTTTCTAATTTTTAACGATACAATAACAACGATTATTATTTTAAAAAATTTTTGTTAGGCTTAACATTGATGAAAATTCAACGCAAAGTAGGTTAATAGCTATATACTAATATACTAATTACATGGGATATAATAATATACTACACTAATAATGGATTTTTTCATACTTTTCGGTTATCCGACTTTTCAATTATCCGACCAACCCCAGTCCCCAATT